CCCAAATGAGTGGGGCATCCCATACAAATCCCTGGAATGAGCATCAAAAATTTTAAAGCTTTGTTCTGAATTGTTAATCACTGCAACAGTATTAATTCCAATCGTTAAAAACAACAATTGTAGTTAATCGAAGTTAAGTTGACAATTTGAAAACACTTGTCAGAGAATTTTGAAGAGACATGTATGGCCCATTATTTGATGCCTTGAACAAACTTCCTGTCAATGACTCACTATATTCTAATGTGTATACTTTATTGTAAATTGAAACCATGCATGGAACATCAGTTAAAAGCAAATAATCATTTGTCTGGACAGAACATCTTATAGAAGTATAAAAATCATTTCCAATGGTAAGAATATTATTCAGAGTGGAAGAAGTCCACAAATTGATATCTTCTATGTGATTATAAATAATAGCAGTAAGTGACATTGCTACACATTGTTTACCGTAATTTCCGGTCGATTACCCGCACGGCCGATTACCCGCACCGGCCGATTATTGCATACGGCGAAAAAAAAAGTCAACGGATTACCCGCACCGGTGGATAACCCGCACGTTGTTATTCAACTTTTTCGGTGGCGAAAACGTGACATTAAGGCGATACATTTCAGTCTTTCGATTCAGACATGTGCACAATTCTGTGTCAATATTAGCTTATACTTTATTGATTGATTATTGCTGCTGCTCTATTACCGATTTCATCGGCAAGAGTTATTACTCTAAGCTTATAATCAAACGTAAAACTGTGACGTGGGCGTTTCACAGCAGGCATTTTAACTTAATTGGTGACTCGTGGATACACTTATCGCGAATGATCGAGGTTTATAATTCTTATTCAGTCAGTTACCTTTTTATAGCATGTAGGAGCGTAATGAGCAATATCCATTGTTCATTTGTCGTTAAAATACTTTTTCAGCGCGAAATTAGTTAAGTTTCGCACCTATTATTTTCAACATTCTGGTGATGCATTTGGGATTTAAAATTACTGTCGGCAATTTCTCAAAAAATCGATATCTCCTGTTCTACTGGGCCTAACAAGTCCCTTAAAACGGAAAAATTCTCTTTAGCTCAAGCTAGTGAAAACTGGAAATTTGTTACTGATGCGCCGGATATCCTTGGATTATTTTTGTCACCATCAAGGTTTTGTTTTCACGCGTGCCGATAAAATTTGTTTGTCACGCAACTAATTATGCGTGAAATAAACTCGAGTTGGCATCATGTTTTCGTGCCGCTTTGTGGCACTTTTGATACAATAAAATTCATTTGAGAGGTGGAAACGCAGGTAGGTGAGAAATTTTTTCAATTCAACTTCCAGAAGAATTTAAAATTGTCACATAACCCGCACCTCCCTATTACCCGCAGTGGCGCGGATTTAATGCAAAATCAACAGATTACCCGCGGGTAATCGACCGGAAATTACGGTACCAGTATTTTCACCAAAAAGTGCTTCATTTCCTTGACTGTAGTCAGCACATATTGTTCTTGTTGGATCGATCGGATCGTGCCATAATGTAGCTGCACAAGTTGTGTAAGCCACACAAAAATGTCTCCGTCTTTGTATTTTTGTTGAAGTCGATTTTAAAGGTTAAAAAGGTTGCGAGACTGACGGCATGTAACATCACTGTTAGATCACGTGAACCTCCTTATTTTTTTTATCAAAATGTATCTGTTTGCGATCGCAAAAGAGCACGAGCCACGCCCAAACTGATTTCCGTTGGCGCAAAATTTTGAATTACAGTGGCAAAGTCAAAGTGTGAGATTGAAGACTGCAATTAAACTGCACAGCTTCTATCGTTGTCCGTGCTCACTTAAACAAACTCAAAACACTTTGATCTCTCGTTAATTCGATAGAAATAATTAGTAATCATCACCGAAACAAGCAAGACTCAACAATATGAATTTAGAGGAAGTAATCGGTTGTTTCTTGTAAATTGAGACTGGTAACAGCAGTCCCAATGGATGCAGTTTACAACATGCATAGAGATTTTGACTTAACACTTTTGTAATTACTCAAATCCGTAATCATCATCTTGTACGTGCCCTTTGGTGAAAATTATATTAAATTTTCGGCTAACGAGCATAAAGCCAAAGGGAAATTTTATGTGCTAACAAATTCCTTCTTAGCTTTTTTCCTTTTCGGATTTTGCTTTCTTCTAGGATAACTTTTAGTACAATTAAGCAAAGTAAATTGATATTGAATATAGAAAACTAGAGACTTCATATAAGTAAAGAGTACAAACCTTTTAATACATTCCCCCAAGGAATAGGATCATGGTATTTCATACGCTTGAGCTTAACATTCTGAGATTTAAGAAACACAATTATGAGGTTGATAATTTGAAGGAAACTGTCCAATGAGTTACATCTATCAACTATCCAATTACAGAAAGTTTTTTGATTAGTAAAAGAACGCTTCACAGTAGGCACAGTCGTCTGGTAATTTGTTATATAGCAAAACGAATAAATTAGAGGTGGCGATGGAGAAACAAATCGAAAATTTTGGAAACCTACTTGAAAGCACGTAAGAGCGCAAAATACTACAAAACCAAAATGTCATGCCGGTATAACATTACCCTCAGTCAGGCTCTGTAGCGGTGGTTGTCGGTAAACACGTGCACGAGTGGGAGACATTCCATTGCTACCTTCTAATGTCATAGATTTTGTGATCTTGTCCACCAGATGGTCCTTATGTTTTTCGGTTAGCTGGTGAAGCTTATTTTCCCCGTGTGACAGGCATGTCACGTCGGCAAGGATAAATTAATGCGCGAAAATTAATGTAAAGGTTTGATAGTAGAAATTTGTTTGCCTCTTTTTTATAAATTGTTCTAGCTAGCGAAGAGTTAAGACCTCAACTTTTTCAGTATAAATTTCTATAGAATAACATTGTATCAAGACGCCCTCTCGAAAATACAGAGTAAAAGTGCGCAGAGTTCACAGCAACATGCTACATATTTTTTAATGGTGAGCACGTGCTCTCGCTTCCTCTTACACACTGGAAATCAGTAACTGACGTAATACGTCATGCCACATGTCACATCCTCCCCAATATAAAATGGGTAGACAAACCAAAAAAAAAACGAAAAAACTGGAACATGCATGAGAAAACTTAAACAATAATAAACTGGAACATGGACACTATGTGCGAAAGTGTCTCAACTGGTAATAAATGTTCAATTTTGAACAACAAATAGAAGGTTCGGTGTTAAGCCTAAAAGGCAATGTCCACAAGTTGCTTGTAGGTTGGTCACGATACAAATTCCTTAAGGTATGAAGGTCTAGTGACTAGTCTTCCTGACTGGGTTCTAATCCCTGAGTCCAGCTCTTTGTAGGGTTCACTACATGGTTTTTAGTGCCTGATTCTTTGCGAAGTGAGGGCTCATCTGGCTCGTCAGGGCAGCTTGACATTTGTGGTGGCTCAGTAAGGGTATCCTCAGGAGGCAATTTGCTGGTCCTTCTTCCATGGCCTAACATGTTGCTGTCTGGTATTTGCTGTGATTCACGACTAGTTGCTTCAGGGCGTGACTAATTAGTCTTCTTCAGATGGGCTCTGTTGCGCCTATAGGAAGATCCATCTGCTGTCTCAATTTCATATGACCTTTCGTCAAGTCGTTCAACAACCACTCCCCTCTTCCATTCCTTTTGCCCCAGCGCAAACGGTTTCAGCCTCAAATTGTCTCCCTCATTCAATTCAGGTAAGTCATGGGCATCAGAATTGTAGTATCGAGCCTGCCTTTTTTGAACATCTTTCAGCTTCTCTCTCTCGTGACTAGAGCTCAGGGTTCTTGGTTCCAGGAGAGAACCAGTTGTGGGAAGTAATGTCCTTGTCCTCCTATTCATAAGCCTGGACTACTTCCGATTCCTTGAGATGGGATATTGCGCTCAGCCAGTAGTCCCAAGTAGAAGTCATTGCCACCTTTAGCAGTTCTACGGAGGAGTTTTTTAACAGACTTCACAGCAGCGTCTACTTTGCCGTTAGCCTTACTATTGTAAGGAGAGGTGACCCTGTGCTCAATGTCCCATTCTTTTGTAAGCTTTTGGAACTCTGCAGCTACAAATTGGGGGCCATTGTCACTAACAAGTGGACAGTTCCAGAATCTGTGTTATGTAGCCGGTCCAGCTCCCAATAACCACTATAGTAATCGACCGTTACCAAGTAATATTTCTGGTTTAGGGTGAAGAGGTCCACAGCAACTTTTTCCCAAGGCCTCTGGTATGTCATGACTCATGAAGGTCTCTTTCCCATGAGAAACTTCAAATAATCTGCAGGGCTCACAAGTCGAGATCCAGCGCTTGAGTTCAGAGTTCATAGCAGGCCAGTACACACTCTCTCTCGCTCTCTTCAAACAGCCTTCTACACCAGCATGCGACGCATGTATGTCTTTCTTTATCTCAGCTCTCAGCCCTTGAGGGACAACAAGGCGCTCCCCTTTGAACACCAGCCCATCATAAATACTAAGTTCATCTCTCATGCAGTAGTAGGGGGTCAGCTGAGGTGAGATCTTTGACCGATCCTCGGCCCATCCCTTCAGTATGGTGTCCATAAGCAGTTGCAGGGTTTCATCCTTTGCAGTCTCGAGTTGGACTTTCTGTACCCTCTCTTATTGCATGGGTAGGAATTGGACCTTATTGACAGACTCAAATTCACTGGGGGTTGATTGACCATCAGCTGGGAGAAATGATCTGTTCATCATGTCTGCCAGAAGTTGGGTATGGCCAGGGGTGTACTGGACGTTTATGTCGAAGGCCAGGCTTCTGAGGAGCATACCTTGTAGGAGTTTTGGTGCCCTATCAAGTGGTTTCTTGGCGATAGACTCTAGAGGCTTGTGGTCTATTTTGATGACAACATGACGCCCATAGATATATTGATGCCATTTCTGAAGTGCAAAGACAATTGCCAACATTTCTTTTTAGATGGTTGCATAGCGGGTCTCTGGATCCGTTAAAGCTCTACTAGCATAAGCAAGGGGGCGACCTTCTCGCATAAGGACCACACCAAGCCCTAGGCTACTGGCATCGCACTGTATGACAAGTTCCTTGTCTGGGCTGTAGTAGGCAAGAACTGGAGCTTGAGTGACAATTGCTTCACCTCATCGAAAGCTTTCTCTTCAGCATTTCCCCAGTACCATTCGACTCCTGTCTGGGTCAATCTCCTAAGTGGATCCATGACTTGGGAAAGTCTTGGCAGGAATTTAGCAAGGTAGTTAACAGTGCCATTCAGTCTCTCAATTTTTTCCTTGGTCCCAGGCGTTTCTAGTTTCAAGATGGCTTCGACTTTGTTTGGGTCAGGTTTCAAGCCATGTGCAGTCAGCAGATGTCCCATGAAATCCACCTGTTGTACCCTCAGCACCACTTTGTGCCTGTTGAGCTTGACGGACGTCTGCCGGCAACGTTCCCATAGCAACGAGAGATTCTTGTCATGATCTTACCTGGCGTCATCAAGAGTGTCACCAATACCATAAATCAAGATGTCATCTGCTATGCAGGCAACACCCACAATTCCTTCCAGAGCTTGGACCAGACGTTTCTGGAATATTTCCGAGCTTACGGAAAGTCCAAAGGATAGGCGTGTCCACCTATACCTCCCAAAAGGGGTTGAAAATATGTTAATATCCATGACTAAGGTCAACTTTGCTGAAGATTTTGGCCTTGGCAAGGTCAGGAAGGATGTCATCAAGGACTGGTAATTGATAGTGTTCCCGCTCTAGCGCAAGGTTCAAAGAACGTGGGTCTATGCAGATGCGTTGGCTTCCGTTCTTCTTGGTGGCAATTGCCATCTGATTTACCCAGTCAGTGGGCTCATCCACTGGAGTGAGAACTCTTGCAGTGTCTAGCCTGTCAAGTTCTAGTTTCACTGGTTCTTTTAACTCAATAGGCAGTCGTTTTGGCGGGCAAAGTATCGGTTCCACATCAGAGTTCAGTGTGAGTCGCACAGATCCAGACAGGGTTCCAATGTCCCCGTTGAAAATGTCAGGAAATTCATCTAAGATATCAGTGCTATCTACTACTCCATTGACATGCTCAAACTGGTCATAGTTGACTGTGAAGAGGTTCATCTTTTCAGCAGCCTTGCGGCTAAGCAGGGGGGTGAGCTGTTTGTCAACAACGGCAAACTTTACCATGTACTTCAACAGTGTTTTTGGGTTTTCAAAGAGCAGCTTGCAGGTTTCAAGCGCTTTCATCTTCACTTTGTTCCACATTTTCAGGGAGATATTAGAAGGTTTAGTATGGCTGTCATCGGTGTGGCTTTTAGGGATGTACAGATAGTAGTTCCACAGTCTACTTGCAGACTGACTGGCTTGGAGTTAACGAGCATTTCACAACAAATGGGCTTGTCTTGTTTGGATCGAACACCATTAACAACGACACTAAGAGTCTTAACTGAAGCCACGTCCGAGTCAGAGTCTGAAGGGTTAGAGTCTTGACTTACCGAGTGAACTTTGTCTTTTCGCTGGCAAATCTCCGAGCCCTCCCAGTGATTCATTTAACCACAGACACTGCACCTTTTACCCCATGCAGGACACAGTTCCTTCTTCATAAGATGAATTTTTAAGCAGAATTTGCATTTGAGCTTTCGTGATTGGGAGTTACTCCTGTCAGGTAAATGTTCGGGACGGTCCAAAGTCTCCCGCTCGTCCTTGGAGGGCCCTTTGCCTTGTTAATCCAATGAACTTCCTCGAGTTTTCCACCTATCGCTTGCATATGAGTTGTGGCGCCCTCCGAGGTTCGACAAATATCGATACACTTCTTTAGGTCGAGCTTTCTTTCCTGAAGTAGACGTTTGCGAGCATCCTCCTTTCTGATCCCAAGGACTATGCGGTCTCGTATCAGAGAGTCTTTCATTGTCGGGCATGTGCAGAAATTACATGTGTCAGTCATGTTTCTGAGGGCGGTCAGGTAAGCATCGAAGTTTTCACCAGCTTCTTGATTGCGTTGGTTGAATTTGAAGCGCTCGTACGTCTCGTTTACGTCACCGGTGAAGTATTCGTCAAACTTAACGATTATCGTGTCGACCTTGTTTGAATCTTCGCTCGCAGTGAACTGAAATGCGTTGATTTTCCAAGGCGCTCTGTCCGATGGTGCAAAGAAAAAGAGCTTTCTGGTATGCCTCTCCTTGCGTTGAAAATTTCGAGACAATAGCAAAGTTGAGCCAAGTTTGCTTCCACAACTTCCACCTTTTCGCCGAGCAGTCAGCAAGATTGAGTGGAGGTGGCGGTTTCACTTGAGGTAACGACGGGCGATGGATATTTTCAGCTTGGTTCGAAGCCGTTGTGTGTACAGAAACAGTCGCGGGGATTCCAGAGGAAGATTCCTCGTCGCTCATCGTTGAAACAGTAAACAGAATAAAAACCACCACCGCTGCCACCATGTATCAAGACGTCCTCTCGAAAATACAGAGTAAAAGTACGCAGAGTTCACAAAAACAAGCTACATATTTTTTAATGGTGAGCACGTGCTCTCGCTTCCTCTTACATATGGGAAATCAGTAACTGACGTAATACGTCACGCCACAGGTCACAAACAGAGGTTACGTTTTGCACCTAACGGGGCAATTTTTTATGCATTAATACTCGGTACGCTGCAGATAATGATATAAGAGTTGTAAATGATAATGAAAATGGTAATGATAATTATTCAAACTATATCCACCTTTGTTTCAACTTCTTGATTCTGATGTAGGAAAAATATTTTCAACCATAGGACAACATCATATACTTTTGAGATCTGGTTTGAAAGAATTATCACAAAAAAATCGTCTTTCATGTACACGGCGAAACAGAAATTTCTGATCTGAAAATTTGTGCGTCAGTGATGGCATCATCTGCATTTATAAGTTGAATATTGGTGCGAACTAGTGAAAATGTGAGTTGCCAAACGATAGATATCTTTCAATATGATCTGAGATCAAATTTGGGTTAGAAAGTATTCATTTTGCCGCAGCATTCTATCAGCTATCTAGTTAGTTTCCAATAGTAGTAGTAATCAACCCTTTTTTTAAACCAAAAATAATTTTCTTTTCTATTTTTTACTGGGAAAAAGAAAAACAACTATGTCAAGACAAAGACCGCAGTATTTGCATGGAAAGTAGAAAAAGGAACTTGGCTTTAGAACTAGTACTTAAAAGAACAATAATTGATCTACCTAAAAAATGCGAAAATACATGGCAGATACTAAACATGTACTTTCAAAGTTAAACTCGTCCCTAACCTATTTAGGATTTCAAGAGCAGTTGTAGGAGCCCTGATTATTTATGCAAATGAAATTTGGGTGGCATTCGTTCCTTTTAACAGCATGAGCTTCTCTGCATTTGTTACTATCTGAAAAAACAACATGCAAACTACGTAAAGATTAAAATAAAACGACTGTCAAATCAAGATAAAGGAAAATAAACGTCACAAGTTCAATACTCGTAATCTTATGACATAAATGTTAAAAAATGCGAAAAAAAGAAACAGGATTTTCCGTCAAGAAATCACACATCAACGAGAACGAGAAACGATCGGCCATCTATTCATTCTAATAGGAAGATAAAACAAAAAATCAGTTAACTCCAAACCCTTATCATGAAGCATAATATTACATCTGAGGCTAAATGTTTGTACTTTGTTACAAAGAAATTCGCTACATTTCTGTTGGTAGTCAATACGAATTAAGTCACTGATTACACGCGTTTTGTTTAAAAGATGCATAGCATTTTTCTTACCATCCTCATTTTGTTCATTAACACATTTACGAAATCGTGGAGTTCTATCATTGACTGTCACATATGTGGAATTTCGTTGCAATTGCAGCATTCGGAGCGCAAGTACACTGGGAAAGGATTATATAGAAATAAAAGAAGATAAACGGAACCGAACTTAACAATCCAGTAAATAGCCTAAAAGTCCAACACTATGAGAGCGAGAAAAAGTTTTTTTTTTCTTAATTCAAAAATTGTTCAGATTTTTAATTTAAGAACTAAATTAAAATTATTTTCTCACTCAAATCCTCACTTTGCTTCCATTGCTAAACGTAAAGCAGGCATCCCAAGCTCACGTCTCGAAAGAAAGCAAACGATTTTTTCATGAACTAACTAAGTAAAGTTGACTTCCACTTCTAGCGGAAATAACAGTGGGAAAAGCGAGCTTAAAACGGCAGAGAACGCCAGAAACCACAACGGACACACAAGATTTGAGTAAATTCACTGATTTTACGCGTAAAATAATATTTCGAAATATACGTATGATTGTTAATCGACCATATTTCGTTCCCCATATTATTCCTTAGAACGTGGATACATTCTCAACGTTCCCTCTCGTATATTAACACCGAGTCACACACCGCGTGACGCTTTTATGAATCAATCGCTTGCTTGCTTGCTTTTTTTCTCCTAACGTGAGCTTGGGA